TTAGCTCTTTTTTTGTTTATGAAAACGTGTGAAGCAAATTTGCAGGAGAGATTTTTAAAAAGGAAAGGAAGTAAAAAAGGTATCAGTTATATAGATTAGCATGGAAAATAACTGGAAATGAGCACAGAAGGACGTTATGAAGAGCAGAGCCATAAAACTGGGTAGAACAAAAGGGTGAGAGGATTAGTGGGGGCAAATGTGAGCAGAGGACCAGAGGCAGAAGCATGCACGGAACTTAAAGAATATCTCTGGTGCCCCGTGATTGCTCATTACATTGGCATCTCTGCAGTATTTCACTTTTCCTTATTCAGGTGACTTCTGATTTCATGCCTAATTATTTGAAATTTTATTGCATTCAAAGAGCCTTGCACTTTTTTTGCTTTTTTTTTTTTCTGAGGCAGTAGAAGAAGTAAAGCAGATATGTTAGAAGTTCATACTTTGGATAAGCTGTAACAGACAGACATCAGTTGTGAGGCATGATTAACCACAGTTTTAATTCTTGATCAAATCCAAGAGTAGTTGGAAGATACTGGATCTTCTGTAACGGCTACCTCCATGTGTTATACTTAAATATATACCCTGAAAATGTATACTCAGGTTATAGATCCATGTAAATAGAATAGTGTATCCTAAATAAAACAGTAATCTCAAAGCACTATGTAATTTTATGTAAGTTTTCACCAGAAGTGTTCATCCTTGTTTTTGCCTTTCCTTTCTGCTGAGCTTCTTACCCAGAACTAGCGTAGCAAGATCTTTTATCAGAGAAGTCCTCAAGGAGGTTCAGCTTTACTCAGCTGGCTGAAAAATCAAGCCTATTGCACAAAGAAACACGCAGGGGTCTGTCTCCTAACATATAGCTGTGGGGGGAAGACCATGGCTGACTGAGGAAATTGTAACCTAACTAGTATTGGCACAGGGGAAAAGAGAGAGAGACCCGCTGCCTAGTTCTGAACCTTCTGTTTTCTGGCAACGATCCCAGCGGTGTGGCTTGGAAAGTGCTGGTGTTTCCTTGGTTTCGTGTGCCTGTGTGGAGTATCTGCTTACAGATGTTTTACTTTTGGATAGTGCTACTCCGTAGTGGGCATGTCTTGAGTTTTCTTCTCTGTTAGGTGTTATGGATTTTGCCCTTTGCTAGCAGATACATTAAAAAGGCAGCCACCCAGGCACAGCGATGTCCCTGTTCATTGCTTTCACTGGATTTATGCAACAGGCAGCTACAGTGCCATCTGGACTCTCATAGCAGCAGTCTACACTGTGACTCTAGTTGGGTCCTGAAACATGGGCTATATGGTGAACATTTATTTTCACCTGCATGCCAGTTCCTGAAAAGCACTTAAAGCGACACTTCCTGAAATATTATTTTAAGCTTTTGAACATTTTTTATATATGTTAGTGAACATTCTATGGAAAAAAAAAATATGGTATGACTTACTAAGTATTTCTTTGCCATCTGTCTTATTTATCTTATTTGATGTTGGAATCAACAGACTGAATAATTATTACGGGGGTTGGATAATGCTGAAGGTTTCTGCCCTGCTTTCTTCAACCATCTGTACAAGTCCTTGTAGGTTATGGCTCCATAAATGTTGCTTATCCTCTCCCCACTTCATGGGTTGGTTTTCCTAAGAAGTGCTGCCTAGGAATCAACTTGATTATTAAGTAGTGTCAAGCCTAGTGCTCGTTGCCAATAACAAAAATGCTTTCCTATCAGGTATGCACTCATATCTCTTCAGCTTCTTGAATAGCCACTGTTGTTGCTGTGTTCGAGGATTTTTTTATAATCTGTTTAAAATTCAGAATTGCTCCTGAAATGCAATGTTTACACGAGTTGAGCATGACAAATAGCTTGAAGCTTTTCATAAACAGTATGTGTATATATGGTGGATCTCATTAATAGCTTGCATTGGTTTTACATTTGTATTACTCCACTTACTAGAGTGGAACTACTATGGATTTGCAGTGGTGTATGTTAAGAGGAGAACTGGGCTTCACGTCTGAGCAGAATCCATGAAGTGCCTCTGCCTTGCTTCAGAAGGCTCTGGTATGCCTCTTGGGGCTGCAGTATTTAAGGTGAGGAATGAGGGCTGCCAAAAGAAGTCTTTTTTAGTGTGGTGGGTTGACCTTGGCTAGATACCAGGTGCCTGCCAAGCTGCTCTATCACTCCCCTCCTCAGCAGGACAGTGAGAGGAGAAAATAAGATGGAAAAAAAACCTCGTGGGTCAAGATAAAGGCAGTTTAATGAAGTAAAAGCAAAGGCTGCGTGTGGAAGCAAAGGAAAACAAAAGATTTATTCTCTACTTCCCATCAACAGGCAATGTCCAGCCACTTCCCGGGAAGTAGTGCTTTAGTACACCTAGCAGTTGCTCCGGAAGACAAACATCATAATAAGGAATGCTCCTCTTCCTCCTCCTTTCTCTTAGCTTTTGTTGCTGCACAGATGTCCGATGGTATGGAATATCTGTTTGGTCAGTTTGGGTCAGCTGTCCCAGCTATGTCCCCTCCCAAGATCTTGCCCACCCGCAGCGTGAGGGGGGGAATGTTGGAGAGACAGCCTTGATGCTGTGCCAGCACTGCTCAGCAGTAGCCAAAACACTGGTGTGTTATCAACACCTTTCTAGCTACCAATACAGAACACAGCTCTATAAGGTCTGCTGTGAGGAAAATTAACTCCATCTCAGCCAGACCCAATACATTTAGTCACAGTAGTGATGGCATTATCATCCAGGGGGATCTGAGTTGCTGTATGTTAGGTTCTAACGAATTGCCCCAGCAACAACAGAACACAAGAAACACAACATGGCTGAGGTTGGCTCCATCTGCGCATTGACAGGACATGCTGGGCAACTGCACAGCTAAAGCTGTGCCTGTTACTTCTGCTAATGAAGTATCGCCTTACTGCTTAAATATGCACCTGTTCACATGTGTCAATATATATGTCAATATACATGCAACTGCCTGTCTCACATGAAATCCGGGGATTCAAATGAAAGAGAAACAAAAATAAGCAAAAGCAAAGCAAAATAAGCTTGATTCATATTAGCAGAATATTTTTTTCTTAAAGAAACAAAAGCAAGCCCCTTCCCAACAAACTCTGAAGTTAAGGACCTTTTGCAGGTTGATTTTGTTGCTTATTTTTGCATCATGTTTTATTTTTAGTTATGGTTTTCTAGAAAGTGAGAATTATTTGCCTTCTAGCTCCCTATTAATGGATACATACAGATAAGTTATTAATCAGTACAAGGAACTACAAAGCTGTAATGACTTGGCTTGGTAGTACTTCTGTAGTATGCCTGTGTAAATAAAATACTTTAGCAGTGATGGTTCCCAAGCCATTTTGGAAAGCTGAATGAAGAAGTACTGACTAATCAATTTTTTTCTCTGTGTTTGCAGGTCACTTGTCACCTCTCTAAGTTTTCAGGCACAATTCCCTGTATTGACAACCTGCAGACTAGTGCTGACCATGTCAGAGACACTTCAAAGCATACTTTAGTTTGCTGAGAACAAATGTTGTTAGCTTTAAGTCCTGCAAAAATTCAACGCTCTTGAACAATTTCACTGTGCGACATTGGATAATACCTAATATTTTAATATTAGCATTTCGAAAGTGAAAAGTTCTGGAGGGTTTAGCTTTCTTGTGAGGTATTTCTAATTTACTGTAGTTTGTGAGCAACTGCACAACTTGGCCACAACAGGCCTTTATAGCCAGCTAATGAAAATCTGATAAATGTTAAAGTTCTTCATACATTCAAGGTCACAGAAGGAATATTATGTGATGCATGCTATTGCTGAAATGAGCTCACCTCGTTTCACTTGAAAAACCACTGAAGGAACCAGATGTCAGCAAGATAAGTCATCTTGGCTTTCCAGAAAGAAGCAAAATCTTTTCTGGATCTTGACAGCATCTTCAAACCTAGAGTTGAAGTTGGTTTTAATACAGAGGATTTTTAACGTACTAGTATCTGACCTTAAATGATAGGGAAGAGGAAAGCACATATGTTTTATGACATCTTGTGCCTGGTGCTGATTATAGGCCTTTATAAAGTTCATATTTACATACTGGATTTGGGACAGAGTAAGCTTGCTTTGCTTTGAATTTCTTCTTGTACAGTGTCTGTTCCAGTTTGTTGTGATACAGAGTTTGCATGAGAGACTGGAAAAATTATTCTTCCAAAGTAATAGTAACGTGTAGTTGAGGGAGTTTCAGTAAACAGTATTGCGTATACTTCTTAAAGCAACCCCTTTGTAGAAAGCACTTACAATGTCACTTATAGTTAGCAAAAAAATGTTCAGGACATTGCATCCCCTACTGAGTGTGTTTTTATTAGGCAGATCTTACAAGGAAGAGTCAGTAGAAGTGCATAAATAAAACCATTTCTCTCCTCTCCTGAGAGAGTTGGCTTTTTCCAGATACAGTGTTTAGCTATTTACTAGTGTGATTGCCTAGTAAAAATCATAGTTTATTTGGTCAGTTAATGAAGACATTTCTGATTTATGCTGATGCAACAAAAAGTAGAATAATTGTTTGTGATTTCAGCCAGAAATGTTGGATGGCTATTTTGACTTTGCTGCATGACCTGTACCTTTCGTAGATGGCACAGCAGAATGTACCAAGATCGATAGCTTACAACTACATCACAGTGTTTCTTTTCAGAGGATTTTTCTTAGTGGACTTTTCAACCTAAGAGTGTATATGTGTGTGTGTGTGGACATGCCTATGCTATAGTGGTTGTTTGAGCAGCAAGGAATGGCATTACCATACATCTCCTCACACATGTCTTATCCTCAGGGCCTTGTTAGCAACAAAATTTGCAATGTGGATGTACAACCATAAAACCGTAGCAGAATACCCAAGGACACTGTTTTCCTTAATAACCTACACAGAAGTGACCTTCAGCATACCAGTATTTGAAGAAGTTTGGACTTCTTCCTTCTTCTCTTTGTTTTTTTCCCCTCCATATTCCAGTTTCAGTAGACCAATAACAAAATACTCTGTTTTGCAGACAAGAAGCCCAAAGCTGTCCCAGAGCCCACAGCCCAATTTGGGTGACCAGACAGAACACCTCTCTGAAGCATCTGCCGATTCCTTAGAGGCCATGTCCGAAGGCGATTCTCCAACCCCCTTTTCGAGGGGCAGCCGCACGCGGGCAAGTCTTCCCGTGGTGCGGTCGGCAAACCAAACGAAGGAAAGATCACTGGGTAAGACCCTACTTCAGTCCTTCTCCTCTCTGCTCTTAGCCTGTGTTTTCCATTTGTGCATTTAAAACAGCTTTTAAATAGTTTGGAGTTAAAAAAGTAAAGACTTTGGTAGCACACTGGTTTTAACGTCAGGTTGTTCTTGCTTAGTACGGGGTAATAAGTAACTTGGGGGAGTGGTGAAATTATTTTCATAAGATCTGAAAGTGTGCTGAGAACATGGTAGGCAAGCAGAAAGACGCAGACCCTGACATGAAATGCTGATTAATGGTTAAAACCCAATATTGCAAATACTTTTTGCCAAGCCTGCACACGAATGTGGCAGTGAACTTACTACAAGATTGCACCCTCATTTTCAGACAGGAGACAGGCTTTTTCACTTCATCATCTCTTCAAAGCCAGACCTAGCTGGAAGAAACCTAGAGATATTACAGCCTGACAGATCCAGGTCTTAATGAAAAGGTTTGGTATTTGCGCGGCGGTAGCTTTCCAGGCAGAGGATTTGAACGGATATGCTGACGGAGATGCCCTTTACTTCGGGGCAGTGCCCTTCCATCTGCGCAGTGACACGGGTGATATGTCAGCACAGGTGGACGGCTCTGCTTCCCGCGTTCTTCCCATATCTCAGGGTTGAATTAAGCCCAGCTGTGAACCAGAGCTCCTTTTATGATGGTGGATTTTGTCCCAGAGACTCTGCTCTCAGCTGATGGATGGTAAAGGCTGTTTTTTTGAGGAAAGACACCAGAGGGCACTTAAACTGCTGTGAGAAGGCAGCGTAACTTGCATGTGGACTGCTGAAGAAGGCAGGTTTTGCTCAGAGGTAATAAACTGAAATGCTGCTTTCCTGTAGACTCATCTCCCAACATACAGAGTGACATAAACCGAAGGCTGGGCTCTAAATCATACCATGCTTGTAAGCTTGTCATGGTGTTTTACTCATTCCTCAACAATCTAAGACAGTTTCTGTCAAGAGTATTATGATATCCAACAAACACAACAAATGAGAAGAAAACAGAGCCTAAAGGGGTCCCTGCTGCCCCCGGAGCTGGCAAGTGCAGAGCAGTGGGACTGCGGACAAGGGGCTGATCCCTGCCCGTTGTCAGCTCATGGAGTAGCACTGCTGACGTCCCAAAGCCTGTTGGGCCACCACTATGTCAGGCTCTTTGGGGAGAAATTTTGAAGACTCCAAGCCGGACAAGACTGTTTGGTTTAGAGGTGTTGTTAAGAGCAAGTGTGTAGCACATGTGTGTTTACTATACATGGAGGGGATTCATCTCTGCCTATATGTCACTGCTGGCTAGGGCGTCCTCAGAATGGCTTGCTTCACCCTGAGATTTTCTGGAAAACATGTATTTGCTTCAATGTGATGTCAAGTGGATCGGGCCTTTGCAGGTCCCTGTGCAACTTGCAGTCCAGCCTCACCACATGGGTTTCGGCTGGCACTCAGCAATTATCCCAGGACACGTAGGGTATCTCAGCTCTGAACTTCTGTTTTGGATGTGAGCTGAGAACTGATAAACAGCTTTCGGAAAGCTTTTTGTTGGCATCAAAGGGAGTGGCCTGCTACGCACCACTGCTTTGCAGTGTTTTCTTCCCCAAAAGCTGCGCTTGAAACAGCTTTCTCATTGTTAGTGTGTACCTCTGAAAAGAATACAACAGCCCTGTTTCTGGAAAAGACTTAAGTGCTCAATACCACGAATAAACCTGGTGATAGGAACATAGGAAGGGCCCCAATGGATTAGACCAAGAGTCTACCTGACCCCTTATTTTGCCTCCAAGAGGGACCATAGGCAGCTAGTCTAGGCAAAAGTAAGAACAGGGTAAGTATGTTGTACCTATGATCATTTCTCCAAGTACTCTGCCAGCCTCAAGCTATCTTCAGCTTAGGGATTTCCTGGTTATGGTTTCTGTCTGTATAATAACCCTCAAGAGATGTCTCCTCCAGGTATTTGTTCAGTCTCCCTTTGAACCCATGTAAATTTTTCACATCCGCAACAGTGCAGCTGTGACTTTGGCAGCAAGTTCCTGTTGGTCTACTGCCCAGCCATTGCTTTTCTCTTGCTTTGTTTTGTATTTGCTTATCTACTCTAAGTTATGCCCCCTTGTCCTTGTGTTGGAAGTGACAGCAGACATTAGATCGCTATCTGCTCCCCCTGGGCCATATCTGATTTTGTAGGCCTGTCATTTCCCTCAGGTCATCTCTTCTCCAGGCTGAGAAGTGCTGCTGTAATTACTTGTTCCTCATCCAGAAACCACCCTGGACATTTGATTAGCATGTTGCCCTTCTTTGCACTTTTTCCAGTTCGACAGCATCTTTGCTGAGATGAGAGGACCAGAAGCTCACCGTTAAGTAGTCCACTCTTAAACCCTTTTTTAAGCATCTGTTGCATATACTGAAATGTGTTGTCCGGGTCCTACTGGAGGACAGTCCCATGAATATGTACCCTTTTATTTGACGGCCAGGATTTCAGACCCTGCAAGGCACCCTGTCTCAGCCTGTCTTTCATATACTAGAGACAAGACCCTGGCTTATCCCAGCGTGATCAGACAAAATGCAGAGGGCGGGGGGAAAGGAAACAATGTAATATGAAGCATTTCAGCTGAGAGTTTTTAGATTTGAAACTGGGGCAAAACAAGCCTTTTCTTTCCTGTATTGCAGGAAGTGTCACAGCTATGTGTGTGGCTTAAGGGACCATCATACCAGCCAAATAGGAGGTAATATGTTGTCACCACCCCACAATCTGTAATTTTCAGGATGTTCCAGGAACTATTAATAGCAGATAGTTTGTTTTAAAAGATATTCTAAAAATGATTCTAAAATAGTTCAGTTTTAGGTTACTATTCTTCAATGTATTTCTTTTACAATAATGTCCTTTTCAGTGTTTTCCGCCAGTGTTTGCTAACAGCACCATGAGCAATGTTCTGAAATTTTACTTTTGAGAGTCTTTGCAGACTGTGGCCCTGTTAGGACTGTTTTTACTTCCAGCAGTACAAGGGGAGTGTTTATTTTTAAAAAAACAGGAAACTGTTTATAACTTCAATTTTAAAGGCATCATGAAAATATTTCTGTTCACATGATTTTAAACAAGTTATGTATAATCACCTCTCTTTCCATCTCTACTAGTTTTTTAAATTTAATCTAATTTAAATACAAATTATGTTTTGATCCTCAGCCAACATAATTTCAGTGAGGAAAATGACCAACTTTTGTGATTTTTTATTAATTTTACATTTAATATCTCAATGCCATCGTTTTAAAAACCTGATGTTTCTTTTTGAAATTCTAGTTCCTCTGTAGGTTCCTATTTTACTGACTACATATGAGTCAGTTTGGTTTTAAATTGTGGTCTGAATTAACATGGAGCCTGAGAAGGAATAGTGGTAATGCATTTTGGCTACTCCAACATCATGGTTTTGTCAGTCAGGACTAATCTAATAGGACATGGTATTCTGACTAATCTAATAGGACATGGTATTCATGTGGAGTCGACCCAGAAAACAGTATTCCAATTGTGGGCCCATTTAAAATTTCAGCCACAGCTTTCGAAACGAAGGTCTTTCTTGGCTAAGAGGTCCATCAGAAATCGGCACTTGTCTCATCAATCTGCAGCCTGGAGACAAAGTGAGATATTAAAATAAATTAATTCACTGTGCAAGAGAAAATTAAATGTATTTTAAAATATCTCTTTGAAAGCTGGGAGTTTTTCCAGTGTGATAACTGTGGGAAAAAATTATCTAGCAAAACTGTCAGAGCGAGAATCAGCTGAAATCTGGAAAGTGCTCAAAAGCTTTCAACAAACTTCACTTGCAATTTGCCTGGAGGAAGCAGAACCTGACAAGCGCCCAGCGAGGTTACGCCAGCAGCCAGCCTGTGCCCGTGCTGCAGCTCATTGCTGTTGCTGCTCTGGTACCTCCGCAACGAAATGAAGACTGACAAATATTTTCACTTGTAGTCTCTCAGGTGGCACATCTGTACAAACGATGGGCCCGATCCTTTGTAAGGGCAGGTGCCAGCATCCTTTGCGATGACTGAGCGGTTGGGGCAGTTGATGCGATCGGTCGCAGCCCCGAAGGGCAGGTCGCGCAGGCTGTACGTGCAGGGTTGGATTAAGGAAGAATATGGTACAAGGAGGGATTTCCATAAATGCACAAGGATTTGGGCTTGAGAAGTCACTGAGGAGGATGGAACTTTATGGGTTGAGAGTTGCAAGCACCTTCTCTGGGTGTCCCAGCCAGGGTGCCCAGTCACTCCAGTCCAGATGAAGAAGGGCCACAGGATGACCAGGCTCCTTGCCGGTAAACCTGTGCCTAAAATTAGGTGGCATGGAAAGGCCTCTGCAGGAATGTCTGATCCTGCCAACATTTGCATTTTATTTGCCTTTGGAGGGATTACTTATAGGAGTAAAATTACACAAACGCTTAAGGATTGGCATGGGGAGGGTCTGAAACAATCACAGAGTATTCTGAATGTTATTTGTTAGCCCCTCAACCCCAAGTTTAACAGGCACAGATTTTAGTGTTTGATTAATTAGGTTGCTGCCACCTTCCATGGAAATGCTGTTACTGATTATAATAGTAACACCTGGATCTTTTGTAGCATTTCTTGCAGGTGTTTCTCAAAGCCTGTTAAAAGCAAAGTCAGTGCTGTAATTACAGTTTTACACATAGGAAAACTTATGCAGAGAGAGGGATAGTGACTTGGTTGCTGTCACCCAGCATTAGAAATAACTCTCCATACATGTGTATGCAGTGCACTGTAAGACTGACACAGAAAAATATAAATGCTAAAGGTAGACTTGGTGGTAATTAATTGTTATTTACTATTTATGAGCTAGGAATTAAAATAGGCATGTTAAATCAGGCAGAAGATTTGTGAATGGCCATAGACTTTTTAAGAGAAGTTTGTGATTTGTTAGCAGTGGCACTGCCCTCTCTGATTCCCTACAGCATGATTCAAGCCTAATGAAGTCAGCAGGATCTTCGGTTTAATTTGTGAGAGAGGA